AACATTGACTAAAAATCTCAAATATTACATACAGTATTAAATGTCATAAATGTTACAGTCTTTTTCCCAAATTCAGCAAATAAACAGTAATTCTGCTTTAAAATGAGCAGAGGTGTGTGATGCACTGATGCGGGAACATGTATCAGACATTTTTCACATAAATAAGTTTGAACATGGCCGGTCAGTTAATGTATTATTGTTGGTGTGAAAATAAGTGAAAATAAGTAAATGCATCATCTACAGAGAACAAACTCAAATATGGTCTTTTATACAAATTTAAGTGCACAATTTGTGATTATTTGCTGAATTTAACATATTGGGGAGCAAATAAAACAAACTATACATAGAATAACTTTTGCACTGGACACATTTTATATTGTTTTTTTTCCCTCTAATATGTTAAATTCCACAAATAAACAGTAACTGTGCACAGAAATGTGCAGAAATGTCTTTTCTTTTTAAAGTTTGTAAAAAATGGTGCATATATATATATATATGCCTATACTGATTCATACATATTTATAAAATGTAGAAACTGGAGTACAATAAAAAAAATCAGGTTTGAAATATTGTTCGATTCGAAACATCAGGTATTTTTGTTACTAATAATTCCGATATCATTCTGCAGTAATTCAGTTATTGATCTTAGAACTTACTGTTCAATTCACTATAGTACCATTCAGCTAATAGGAGTTAGTTACTGTCTGCTCTGAAACTCATACGTACGTTCTGTAGTTACATGAATGAGGAAGGGAAATGTGCTCTTGGGTTTAAAGGGTTAATTTTTTTAAAAGTTGGAATTGAACGGGTTGTTTTTGCAGATTCTGCTAAATGCATTAAAAAAAATGAGCCAAACCGTCTCACTCCAAAGAAATCATGTCGAGCCAAGTGGAACACCGAATCTCAGGGGGCTCCACCAATAACAGCCTTACGTCCATTATTCTCAACCAAAACAAGACCCAATCCAGAGAAACTGCGCCCCCAGCCTCCGAGCAAGAGCCCCCCCCCCGCTCCCCCCCCCCACCACCACACCCTCCGAACACGAGCTCCCCCTCTGACCCCCACCCTCCGAACACGAGATGCTTACAGACAAACCCCAGAGGATACCCAGCGCTGCCGAGGTTAGCGGGGGTCACGTTAAGAGTATTGGATTTATTGATTTTAGCTCCTCAGAGCTGGTCGGGGCTGCAGGGGTGAGGAGCTGGTCGTGTATGTTTGTGTGGCTCTGTGTGAGCAGTGAATGGAGTATTACTGATGTGTGGTTTGGAGAGCGGAGAGAGAGAGAGAGAGAGAGAGAGATGTGAGGTCTGTGGTGGGGACTCTCCAGGCCTGAAACTCAAACCACCTTGGTTAAACAAACTGTGGAAGGAGCCCCCGGCCCACACACCGCCTGCTCAGCCGATGACCCCTACGGGTGGGCAGTGAGGCACAGATTTATCACGATGCCTTGATTTTCACAACACAAGTTGGAGTCGTGTGCAAAAGGTTGAAGTACAAATACGTTAACATATCCTCTATGGGAGCAACTTAAACATGGCATTATTTCTACCTTTAGTGCACAATTTCTGCTTTATTTGCTTTTTTTGGGGGATTTTTCCCCAATTTTCTCCCCAGTTTAGATGTATCCAATTCCACCCACTCACACGATACCACCAGCGCTACGAGGGCGAAGACAAACACAGGCTTTCTTGAACTGCCGCTCACGCAACGTCATTGGACAGCTGAATGCGCTGTTACATCAGCTAACAGGCGCCTACACTGACTAGCATCGCGCTGAGTGATGGGGGGGCCATCCGACCCTCCCAGAGAGTGAGGCCGATTGTGCTCTCTTGGACCCCTGGCTGTGGATGGCTGTAGCATCACCAGGGATCAAACTCGCGATCTCCTGTTGGCTGGGCTACTCGGGAGCTTATTTGCCTTTTTTTAAGATTAAATAAAATTCTAAACGTTGAATAAAAATATTACATAAAACATTAAATGTGCCACACATTTTACGTCTTTTTTCCCGGTATGTTGAATTCAGCAAATAAACAGTAATTGTGCATTAAAATGTGCAGAAGCGTGTCTCTGTATCAGATGTGTTCACTTATTTACAATCAACAAAAGATGTCATTTGGCCAAGGGTGCCAAAAATTTTGCATAACACTGTATCACAGTACTCTGCTTTTCGTCTTTCTCTTAACTCTTCGTTGCATCACATGAACAGCAACTGAATGGCTCCCCCTCGTGCAGCCGAATAGAGGAGCCGTCAGGTTTTATAACGTAGTTGATTAAATTCTTAATGATATTTTCCGTGTGTCAAACACGAGGCCTGTGGGCCGAGTCAGGCCCGTGACGCCGTCCTATTCGGCCCGTGAAATTATTTTAATATTCTGTTATTTTTAGCCTGTTTCACCCTGAGATGCACTACAATCCCCAGCATGCACTGTAATATAGTGTGCATTCTGTCCCCACCAACAACGACGTTTAGGCCAACGGTTACACAGAAAGCAAAGACTACCGAACACAGTTTATTTTTATTTCCAGTTATTTTTGAATAAGTATTTAATGCCTATTTTGCTGTTGCAGTTTTGGCATGTTTTGAATAAACCATGGCCAGTTGGGGTCGTAGCAAATTGTTAACAGGGAGTCCGCAGATCCTTAAAAAGTCTATAAAAGTCTTAAATTTGTTTAACCAAAAAAAGGCCTTAATGTGTCTTAAAATGTCTTAAATCCGTCTCCCAAAGGTCTTACCAGCACTGTTCTGTCTCCCACCCCAGTTCCAAACAGCTCTACTCCATTTCAGATACCAGCATTAGCGACGGCAGCACCAGCAACAGGCCTCCGACTGATGTTCAGGGCCACGGCTGCTCTTAAAGCAGAGGTGCTCTGGTGATCTGCACACGATAACAAAGCTCTCAAGAATCATCAACGGTCAGAGAAAAAAACAAGCAAACTCTGCTCCAGGTGTCGATCAGCTCGCAGAAGGATGCTGATCAGCTGGCTGAAGAAGCTGAGGGAGAGGCTGGCACATTAACGGCACAGCTTATCACCAAATCAAACCCACTGCGGAAGCGATGCAAAGAAAAAATGTGTGAATTTAAAAAAAAATAGAGGAAGAGTTGGAGACGACGGGTGCTGAACTCAGAGACGTCACGATTCTGAGAAAATTGCAGAAAAAAGAGAGACCGTATTTTCAGTGTATGGACAGTTCCATTTTTGTTTGTGCAAAACTTAATTTATGTTTGTTTGAAATGTTGGATCATCAGAAAATACAGGAATCATGTTTACAGTAAAGTCTGTAGATGTAATATTGGTGCCATTGTGTGCTTTTTGCTGTTTTTTTGCGGAAGTGGTCTTAATTTAGTCTCTGAGTGGCTTTAAAAAGTCTTAAGCAGTCTTAAGTTTGACCTCCCCGTACCTGCAGAGACCCTGGTTAAGTAGAGGAAATAAAGACACAGCTGGCCCACAGATTGAGTTTTTTTAACGTTGCCCTTTTAGTGGTTGAGTTTGACACCCCTGCGATAGTTCAACAGCCCTTTTTGGCACACTTGAGATCTCCTAACAAGGGTCATGTGTTTTGAAAACTAGGAAAACCCCCTCGTGATGATGTATCTTGAAGGTGGGAGGAACCTTTGAACAGCTTTAGCAACTTTTGGGTGGAATTTTTGGAGCAAGTTGTTTTGAAATGTTTTTGTTCTTGCTAACTGCTGGGAAACGGAGTGTCTTACTGCACTAACTGTGGTCACTGTCTTCAAATCAGCATCAGAGTGGAGAGAATGGATTACTGACTTGTCAGGAGGTTAGCTGGTTATTTAGAAACCGTTAATCAGTTTGACTCTTTGCCTGAAAGGGTATAAACTCATGTCTGGTGTCAACTTTGTGCTGCATAAAGGTAAAATCACTGTTTTCTTTATAATTTTGTTCAGTTGAGTTGAGTTAAGGCTGAACGATATAAGGAAAATATCTAATTGCGATTTTTCCGCCTAATGTCGCGACTGCAGTTTAAACTGTGATGTTTTAATAAAATCGAGATTCTGGCCTGATTTATTTTGACCATGAAGACCAGAACATCCACCTTTTTCGGTTTCGGTTTCCCTGAACGTAGTGTGTCAAACTGCCAGTAAGCTGTGGTTGTGATGTCACAACACATGGAGGTTTGGTGGCCTCTGATTGGTCTAACTCACCTACAGGCATTTCACAAGCTGTAATTAGGTTCAGTTTCCTCTCTTAAAACTTAAAACAACATTTTTGCTAATGTACACACTTAATAAAGATGGTTCTTCAAGGGTTCTTCAGTAAAGACAATGGTCCTATGTAGAACTGTAAGGGCTCAGCAACCCGTGTGGTGAGATGGTTCTTCAGATTGATGGTTCTTCAGATTGATGGAGAATGTGTTGTATATGGTTCTATATAGAACCTTTTTGAAAAGAGTTCTCTATAGGACCAAAATGTCCTTCTGTTGTTATACGCTTGACATAAACAAGCAAAAGAGTAGAAAAATACCAGAACCCTTTTTGATGCTATACAGAACCACAAACCGCACATTCTCCAATCTGAAGAACCATTTCACCATGCAAAGAACATTTTATGCATGCAAATCGGTCATGGTTCATGGTTCTATACAGAATGTCTTTACTAAAGAACCATCTTTTTTTTGAGAACCTTGAAGAACTATATTTTTTAAGAGTGTAGGTTATAATAAAAAAAATTGCAATTTCAATATAAAAACCATTAATCTTTCAGCCCTACCTGTAGGTCAGCTGGTGACGATTGGATGACACCACAGGGACTGGTTGTGTGGTGATGTGTTTGCGAAATGCATGCTGGGTGTTGTAGTGAAAGAACGCTGATGAGGCTGCTGGACGCAATGCTGTGCAACAGAACTGAATGAATAACATTTTAAACTCAAGTTTTAGGCTGAAATGCTTCTTTCATGGTGGAACGCTGGATAAGTCTGGTGCTGAGGGTCTTTCCGAAAGGCTGATGGCATTCTAATTGGTCATTTTCTTCCCCTACAGAAGCAAGGACCTTGAGGTCACCAAGGGACAGTGGTCATTCCAGGAAAGAGTTTGATTAAAACGTCAAAGGTAAGCAGATGAAAGATGAACCTCGGCCCTGGCTGGTTGTGCCTTCTGTTTGTAATGAGAGTGAGCATTGAAAGCAGCGGTGATGCAATGTTGATGTCCCATCATTTGTGTGATTTCGAGCCATGGCTCGCGGGTGTTTTTTGGTGTATGATACATGTGGTCATTTTTTAATGTTTTAAATCTGTATAAAGTTCAAATAACCTGTAGAAAGATTATTTTTTGGTCTTGAGAAAGCGCAGCTCTGTTTTGGATCAGGCCAGATGCCAGATTTTTCCTGTGTTAAGGCCAGAGTAGGTATTAGCGGAGAAGTGGATTGGTGGAGATTACTCGTGTTGTTTCAGGGTGGTTTGTTTGTTGGCACACTCTGAGAAAGAGCACGGCAACAGAAGACGAGAGCGAGCCACGCGGCCGAGGTGGAGATGAAATAATGGCAACGAGTGCTGAAGAAACATGGCACTCGCTGTTGCTCTGAACACGTTTTCAGACCAGTTCCAGGTCACAGGATTCGGGTATTAGGCCTCTGAATAACAGTATGAAGACTGATTAAGGTATGAAGTGATTACAGAGATCGGGGCCATTTATCATCATAATGTGGCAGCATCAGGCTCTGCTTAAACAGCCCTCCACGTCTAAGAGCTTTAAGGTGGATTTTCTCGTTTTTGAGGTGATTACTATTAGCCAAGAACAGTCTGTGAAACCCAAGCCTAATGCTCCTGAGAGATTAACGCGACGCCGCCCTGCGGAGTCCCGGGGGGCTCGCGCGTTCGGCTGATTTTAATTTCACACCATCTGAAAGAGCCACGGCGTCATTCATTTAAATCCATTCAAGAATCCCCTCCTCAGCCTGCCTGCAGCCGAGAGCCTGAGGAGGATCTCAAAAGCTGTGATGACTTCATTCAGCTTTGGAGTGGAGCTGCACAATAACGTGGGACGTGCGGCAGAATCGACACACGGTTGGACAGCACCGGTCAGATGACATGTTTTGTTGAAGTGAACATACATTATCACATCCTCTACAGGGAACAAACTTAAATAAGGAATTTTCCTGCAAATTTTAGGGCACAATTTCTATTAATTTGCTGAGTTTAATATATTGAAAAGCATGAAATATAATATGTGCCATAGCTTTTGCACAGGCAGCATATGCTAGATATGTTGAATTCAGCAAATAAACACACACACTGTCTAAGCTGCTCATTCTCCTGGGTTGTGGGGGGAGCTGGAGCCTATCCCAGCGGTTACTGGGCGGTAGGCAGGATACACCCTGGACAGGTTGCCAGTCCATCACAGGGCAGACACACAGACATATACATTCACACACACACTCACACCTAGAGGCAATTTAGAGTGTCCAACTGGCCCGACTGCATGTTTTTGAGAACAGGCAAACTCCACACAGAAAGGACCCCGGTCGCCCGGCCGGGGAATCGAACCCAGACCCTTCTTGCTGTGAGGCAACCCACTGCGCCACCATGCCACCAGGAAATAACCGGTGAATGTACATTGTGTAAATGTGCAGGAAACATGCAGAAGTGTGTTCTCTGTAGAGGATGTGTTTACATAATTTTTCGTGCTTAAAGTTTTGCATACGTCTGTATGTGCAGGTCATATGTCAGAAATGTAACGCCACAAATCATTCACACATTTTCATGATACCTTTTCTGAAGTTATGTTGGATCAGACCAAAAAAGAACCAGCAGTGCTACAATTTAGAAATACTGTCCGAACTGTAAATATAAAGACTTTCACCATTTACAGTGCTGCAATGCACTAACTATAACTCTGTTTATAGTGGAACATGCGGTCGGTCAGTGTTCTACTGATGATATCCGTAATATACTTAGAAAAGCATGTTGTGACGCAATGATTTACAGTGATGACGATAAATATTGTTGCTAAATATTGTATAAAGTTATCCCTTTATTTATCAAAGCATCCCTAAATATTCCCCCAATATTCCCCCAGTATAACGCAGGGTTTTCAAGCCATTATTCCATAAATGTCAACCATCTAACAACTTCTAAAGGTAAACAGTGCTGCTAACTAGGAGAGAGGAGCTGGTTAGCGTTAGCTTAGCTAGCATCCCTGATGGAAAGAGAATAGTGGACCATTGTTGGCCCCACTGATGGCAAAGCCGACGGTCCACCGGTGGTTAAACAGAGTAAAAGACTATATTTCACTCATTATCACTCATTTTCCACTTTCAGTCCGATGATCTCCTTCCTTCCTTCTTTAGTTATACTTTGTAAATTTGTTTAGTAAATAATTTTAATCCAGCTCAGCGTCAGCAACAACATTTTCTAGAAAATCATTTTATATCAGGTCTAGTCCTTCATTTTTTCTCTCAGTTGTTTGTAATATTTGCCTTTTATTTTAGAAAATAATCTGTGTGCATTTAAAATCTGTTTGGGGAGATTAAAAACTAGGTAGAGCAGGACAGTAATCTGGGTGTTCCAAAGGTGGTCCAGCAGTGGCAAACAGTCAGTGGGGTGCTGACCTTATCAAGACAGCGGACCGATATGTGCTGCTATCTGGGATAATAACGGCTCTGAACACCACAGAACATGTATGACTCTGGCAAACTGACGTTTAGATGATAATGATCCAAATCTGGGCAGTGAAGCGGAGCGGCTGGCGCTGAAGGGACAGAGAGCAGAAATGAAACCTGTTCTGTGGTGTTCGGATCTGTGGCCTGACCGGCTAACTGAACAGGTTTATACTGACTGCCTGCTGCTCTGCTGAAACAGGTGTAGATGATAAAAGCTGCTGTCTGAGGGAGTAAAGGTGGAGTGAGTGGTGTTGGAGTGTCAGAAGGCTGAAATTGAACCTGTTCTATGGTGTTTGGGACTGTAGCGTTTTGGCTAAGCTAATGATAGCTTAGTTAGCAGGTCACACATGATGCCGCTGGAAGCAGAATGCTGTTCCAGCTAACTGGTGCTAAAATTACCCCCGTCTAGACGATGTCTGAGAGCGCAGAGTCGCGTGACTGGTGTTACACTGAAAGTTAAAATGGAGAAAATAAAAAAAAATAATTATAATTTTGCAGTTGCACGTCCACCTGCAGGTCAGTCCGCCAAGGCAAGGTCACAGCTCACTAAGTGGAAAAGGGGCTTTAAAACATAATGGGCGAATAAGTTAATGGTGCAATTTATGCATTAGGGTGGCATTTATGGCATGGATTATTTTATTTTGGGGTTAGTTCTATGCTTTATTTTATGGCATGGGGTTAATATAACCCAGAATTCAAATAATCTGAGGATATTTTGCCAGTTTGTTTTATAACATGGGTTTAATATAACCTGAGATTATTTCTGCAGTTTTTTAGTACAGAATTCAAATAATCTGAGGTTATTTCACCAGTTTGTTTTATAACATGGGTTTAATATAACCTGAGATTATTTCTCCAGTTTTTTAGTACAGAATTCAAATAATCTGAGGTTATTTCACCAGTTTGTTTTATAACATGGGATTAATATAACCTGAGATTATTTTTCCAGTTTTTTTAGTATAGAATTAATATAATCTGAGGTTATTTTGCCAATTTGTTTTATAGCATGGGATTAATATAACCTGAGATTACTTCTACAGTTTTTTAGTACAGAATATAATCTGGGATTATTTCGGCCATTTGTTTTATAGCGTGGGATTAATATAACCTCAGATTACTTCTACAGTTTTTTAGTACAGAATATAATCTGGGGTTATTTCGCCCATTTGTTTTATAGCATGGGATTAATATAACTTCAGATTATTTATACAGTTTTAGTACAAAATTAATTTAATCTGGGGTGATTTCTCTGTTTTGTTTTATAGCATGATATTAATATAACCTGAGATTATTTCTACAGTTTGTTTTACAGCATGGGATTAATATAACGTGAGATTATGTGTAGTTTGTTTATAGCATGGGATCAATATAATCTGGGGTAAAAGTGGTGATAATTACCCAGCCTCCCCATGTAAAACTAATCCTGTCCCAGTCGTCCTTTATATGAGTAGGCGAGTAATTATGAGCTGTTGCTGATGTCGGTATTGTGTATGTTGGGAAGGTGGTCCTGGACCCACTTATCAGAAGTCCATGCTGAAGGCCATTCATGGGCAGAGGCAGTGTTTTTCTTTTGTTTTTCCTTGGTCTGCGGCCCGTGTGAGTTGGTGGGCCTGAGTATCTCTGAGGTTTTCCCTCCTCCGACTTAACGTGTTGCAAAGCAGAGTTGTCACAGCTAGTTATGGATTTGAGTTTCAAGAAAATGTGCTCACAAAGCCCTTTCACCTCCCCACCCCCACCCCCACCCCACACTTTTCCTCTTGGCTCACTCCTGGGGGGGCGGGTTGTCCATGAAAACAAAAGCAGCTAAGGAAGGCAGACGTGAATTCAGTCCACGGGAAAAAAAAGAAAGAAAAATCCATTCCAGAGCCAAAAAATGTGAGATGTGTGCTGCCTGCAAGTTGGACGGCCTTCAAGTTCCAAAGGACAGAAAGAGAGAGGGGGGGGAGGGGTGGGGGAGGGGGGGGAGTGAGGATAAATGACATTTTAACCATTTTCACGAGCGCTGGTGTCCTGAGGGTGACACGCTTGTGAACGATGAGACTTTGTACAGGTGATTAATTGCACTCTTGTTGTCTGTTAAAGGAGACAGAATAGAGGGGAAAGTCAGGCAGCACATCCAGCAGATGCAGAGCTGCTGTATCGTATTCCAGGCGTGATTTAGGGGTCAGTGGCTGCGGCAAACGCGGCCCTCGCTTAGGGGTCTGCACAGGCATGAAAGTGAAGCTTGAAGCCCACCTGTACCGGCGACTTTGAGAGCCATACTGGTACTGCGAATATTTAAAACCTGATCAGAATCAGCCATGAAGGAAATGAATTACATTCAGTCAGCAGTCGGACAACTTGTTCCGATTTTGTCTGATCAGTGTTGCAGTTTTGTGGTGAATAATGTGAGGAAGTTCACTCGCGCTGTGTTTGAGTGCTGCTGCTACACTTGTGCCAGAATGCTGTAGAA